CTTCCAGAATGTGAATTGCTTTCAGCAGATTCACAGCCAGTTTGAAATATTGGTACCAAAATTTTATCTGAACTTTGCTTGTTGAATCATTCCTGCAAAACTGTTCAAATACTACTATATCAGTTCTTACAATGACATCTCATATTTTATTTAGCCTGTATAGATATTAGAATTTACACAACTGGATTGATAAGGCATATCAACTGTACTAAGACACTTGGCTCACATTAATACTTTCTTGGTTATTCCAGGAATTAATTTGATTAAAAAACACCAGAGATTCATGATTTTTGAATGTTTATCTTTTGAACATCCTGGATTTCACATTTACTTAAGTATAAGATAGAAGAGCTCTTTTTCTATTCTTGTTTAGTCAATTTTGTTTTCCCAATTTATGGTCATAAGTGATACCAAAAGAAATCTTTGATCATAGCAATGCTGAAGAATTTAGTCAATCTGGTTATCTTATCCAAAAGTTAACTTACAAATTCTGTTTTATTTATAATATACGTAGCAACATGAGTTAGATGTTTGAAGTAAAAACCCCAATAACTACATTGTAACCTTTACTTCAGTGGCTAAGTATCCAAATTGTCTGTCAAGCTAGAAACACTAATTCTCCACATATATGCAAAAAGAGCACTCTGTCATAAATCAATGTTTAGTCTGCAACTCTTGTATGGCTAGATCCTCACTTGATGTGCCATGAACCTGACTTTGTACAACAAATATTTATATACATGCAAAAAAAAGAAGAAATAAAGAATAAAATCTCTTTTTCTGTTGTCTACAACTAATCCTTTCTAATGAAATACTTTTGCTTGAATATAGAAAGTTGATCTAATGTCCCTGCAAATTGATTTGAAAATAATTTTATTCATGTAGATATTTTATAAAAGATACTGTTTACAGAAGATGATGGTTTGATGGAATTTTTTTTCTAGATGAAAAAATACCTTTACATCCATGTATCTATTCTAATATTGCTACTCATCTCTTTAAAAAAAATTCAAACTAACTTCCTTCAACAGACAATATAATAATTAACATTGTTTAATATCTAAAAGACTGGTTGCATTTCTAATAGCTAGTCAGCTTTGATTAGGCAGATCCATGACAATTATATCTGAACATCTTTAAACTCCATTGTCCATTTTTGTTTTCCATAAGTCTGTGCTGTCTCATTTAAATACACATGCATAAAACATTCATAGATATGGGTAACTACCAAGTAATTAAGAAAATATTGATTTAAATTTAAGACATTTAAATTTTCAGAAAGGAAAGATGTTTAGCCATCTGGTAAGTTGGCTAATTGTGATCCAATCAGTGATTGCAGAACCAGACAAAAATTATCAGTTAAAGTATGTTCACTTAGTTTTTTTTTTTTTTTTTTACTACTAAATAAAAAAAAAAAAGATGCAAAACATTTTTTGTTTAAAAGCTGAACATTCTGGCTTCAAGAAATATACTTTAAACAAACTAGATTATTTAAATTAATGGTATAATTTTTTTTTCCAAACTGTGCAGAGGAAAATATTATAGAATGACCTAATATTATAAAACTTAACAAAAAATTAGAATTAATACTTAGTAGCCACTTCTCCAGCTTTTATGATAGCCTTAATTCTTTCAGGCATGAATTTCACAAATTAAAAGCAATATATTTTATCATAGTGGTTCCAGTTTTCCCCAAATTGCAGTTAATAGATCTTTCATGGATGGAACAACCTTTTCATGGGCCATTTCTTTTTCTTTTTTTTCGTTTCACCATAAGTTTTCAACTGGATTTACATTCAGACTTTTTGCTGGCCATGTCATTGTTTTTTTGTTTTTTTTTTTTGTTTTTTTTTTATATATGCTTTTCCTGAAGAAAAGCTTTAATCTTTGTTCTATGACAAAGTGCATTACTGTCCTGAAAAATGACTTAACATCAGACCAATTTTCTATTAAATAAAAACATTTTTGGCATCTTACCTGTGACTCTAATTATTACTGAACAAAAACAAAACCAAGATGAACACCTAATCATCCCATAATTTTTGTCAAGGGTAGTAACTGTTTAAACTGTATATTGTAGATAAGTTTATAAGTCATTTTTTTCTTGAACATAATTCATTAAGTGATATAATTATTAATATTATCAACAGTGATATATTACAAGAAAAAAATTTGAATTTTTTCCAAAGATTTTTGTATGAGGAGGCAAGACTATATAGATATGAACATTCTATGATTTCTTTCACTAATATTTCAATTGAAAGTGTATGGATTGATATTGTGACACTGATAAGCCAGAAAGGCTTTTCATTAGGGCTTGAATTAGCTATAACTGTTCTTGGAAATTGAATTTACTGGATTATGGAGTTAGTCTGAGTACAAGTGTTGGTTGTCTATCACATCTGAATAAATGTTAGCCTACCTGAATCATCAAGTTTGCATATAAAATCTCAGAGCTTTTTAACCAGACATATATATAAGGTCAGTTGTGTTGCATGCCATCAGATATAGTAACTTCCTCTCTAGAAACTGTCATTAGTCAATTAATCTCGTCCTTATTATCATTTAAATTGTGTTGTCAACTGTGGGCATCTTGTAATTTTCTTGTAAGAACTATTCTCAAAATTCATAGTATATATGCATAATGGTAAGATCTTGTGTAATTCTCACCCATTCTCATTTATGTGCAAGAACCTCAGGTCATTCAGCCTACATTCTTACAGCACTAACCATTGAGATTGTAGCAATAAATCTAGTTGGTCTACTTTTTAATTCTGTCAATATTTGATCAAATGTTTTATTGACACTTGTTTCTATTAAACTAATACTTAAAACATGAGTGGGTCAAAAGTATTTTAGTTTTTTTTTTTTTTTTTTTTAATTCCTCATCTAACTCTGGGATCAGATAATCTGATTTAGCTTTGCAATCATGGAGATGAAGCTATACAACTTGAACTTTTACAGAGAATAAGTTTTGAGGTAAGGAAAAAAAGTCAACAAATGAGAAATGTAGTTCTTTGTAAGCTTGTTTGGTGAATCCTATTATTGTAACCTGGAATACCAACATTTTCTGTATATCAGAGCAAAAACTTGCAAGAAGAGTCAAATTATTACTGAAATTTTATTCAAAGAAACAATCTTTATAGAAAAAAGTTATGAAATCCAAAGTAGTTGTCTTTTGTTAGATGCTGCCATGTTTTGTCATATTTAACAGCTAAACTATTGCTCAGTTTTGTACTGTTTCTGGAAATATCTACATGAAAAACACAAGTCTATGCTTCTGTAAAATGCTTAGGATGCTCCAAACTAAAATTTCTATTTGTATACAGAAAAACTTTAATTAAAGAATGAGTTAATTTTCATAGCTCAAATATTATTAAGATTATTATGGGACCTTCCAAATAAAAAGGGCTCCCTCACTTCTCTACAGGCAGTCACTCCTTCCAAGACTAAATATGTTACATTTTTCTGTCTTTGTTATTCTTTTGCTGCAAGTGAAGTACCCTGGCTATTAAAAAAAACAAAAAAACAATAAAGTCAAGTGCAGGGATTCATCTCCCTCAAGTTTTACACTTCAGTATCAGTTTTTGAGTCATCTCAAATAGAAGGTTTTGAGGGAGTTGAGCAGTTTTCATTAGAAATTTCCTCTTTGCATGGTATTTTCCCTTTAAACTCTTTTTTTTTTTTTTTTTTTTTTTTTCTTTTGTCATATTCTTTTTAAATGGGTGTGCAAATAATTTCTTTTTTCAATTGCAAGAAGGTTCTTTTGCAGTCTGAACTGGTCATATATGGTTGGGTTTGATTTGAACTTGACTTCTCTATAAATGAGCTCTTACTCTCAGACTAAATAAACTGGATTTTTCTGTCTTGCTTTCTTTGCAATGTTGCCCTGACTAATTTGTGTTTAGGTTTGATTCAAAGAACTGTGCCCAGTTCCATTGTCCTATCACCACAGGCAGTCTCTCTTATTGCACTTAGTTAGGGTGTCAGTATCAATCCATGATGATTAGGATCTATCTCCCTTGCTAATATTCTTTCTGAAAAATGTTGTTAACCTACTTTATCTTTGACAATTATTATTGCCACCTCCCACCTTCACCAAAAATCAATCAACTTTCTTGGGCACAGATTATAGAAAATTTGAATTAAATAATTTCCTGCATATTAAACATACACACACACAAACTTAATCCTTATAGATTTTCTGCCATTTGAGACACATTTTTAAAACCTGCATCAAAGCTAGTTGTAAATTTACCTCTCGTATCAAACCTTAGAATTGATTATTTGCTCTGTCAGTCAACTGGAAATTGGAAAGCCTTAATTTTTTTCTCCTCTGTGTTCACTGCATGCAAACAATATTTCATCAAATATTTTTAAAAAGCCATAATGTTATATGATCATTTTATTGTCTAGAATGATCATATTATAACATCCATCCAAGTGTATAGAATGATCATGTAGAATCCATCCAATGCATATAATGTAGAAAGAGTTGAAGCATTTTAACTAGTGAAGAGATTTTTTTGTTAAAATCAGAGTTCATTTAATTATAATAAATGTCTATATTGATTGGTGTGAGTGTACTTGAGTTTTAATTAGTAATTTGCATCTTTCTGTGTATGGTGTGCATCATTATACCCATGTGTATATAACATTTGTGTGCATATTCATTGTCTACAAATATTGATTGGGTCACTTGATTGCAAATGTAACTTTAAAAAATTGTATTTGTAACTTGAAGAGAAAGCAGGAAAGATTACAAGAGAAGAAAACTCTCCTGTACAAAGAAAAAAATATTAATATATTTTAAAATATAGTTTGAAAGTTCTTTTTGTTTGGGTTAAATACTGTCAACTAATGAATGTCAGTTACGAGCTGAAATCATTTGCAAGTCTTTTACAACTGAACCACACACTTAAATTTCTTGATTTATTAAAATCCAGTTACAACTAAAAGAAATACATTCAAGTAATATGAAATTTTGTATTGTTTTCCAGATTGTTGTTATACTGAAGAAAAATAGGTAAATTATATCTTGTCATAAATGTGGTTGACTCCTGTGGTAGCTTTCTTTGTTGCACATCTGCTCTTTCCTGCATTTTATTTTGTAAAAATATTTTAACTATTCTGCATGTTATGTATTCAGAGCAGCAACTCCTTAATACATGTCATAAGGAAAACATGTTATTTTTTTCCTAATAAGTTTGGAAACTAATAAAACTATGCCTTTTCATTCAGATTTGTATGCTTATCTTCATTGTTATACTCACAAATTTTGAACCATTGTACATTCAGGCCTATGGAATAATTAGTATCAGTTAATTCTCTTCTATCTATTTCACCTTTGTGTCATTTGTCTTTCTTCCACTGAAATGTATGGCATTACCTGACTAGTGAATTAAGCTTATGGTTATCAAAAAACCAGATGATCTGTGGAGAGTCATTGAAATAAAACCTGGCTGATCATGTATGTAGGGAAAAGGGTGGTTATCAACTTCTGTGGAATAAGGTCAAGATGGAGAACACTGGCAAATGACAACATCTGTTAAACTCTGATTAAGAAAGAAAGGACATTGAAAAATTCCACCACCTAAATATAAGTATTAGGTTTAAAGCTCCTAAATTATATCACCAGACTGCCCAATAGACACATGGTCTAATGGATTAAAATGTTAGTTAAGGTATAGCTGGATTCCTGGCAGTTATGAATTCAATCCATGGATTGGGTAGTAAAATAAAAAGACAAATTGGTAGCGCAATGAAAGAAACTGACAAGTGACATAAAGAGAATTGATTAACTGATAAGAGATGTCCCCTATAGAGAGTAAAATGAGAATAATCTACTCACATGGGTTAAATAAAGAGTTTGGTTCAAAATTCCTAGGGGATCACAGAGAATACCTGGAAGATATAATGGCTAAAATGTTGCGAATATAACAACTAAGGTGAGCAGACTAGTCTGAATGGTAAAGCATAAAAATAATTTCTCTAAAAAAATTTCTCCATAAATTTTGACAAAAATAGTTTTATTAATCTATCATTAATTATCAAAATAAAAGTTAGATTAGTATAAAAATTAATAATGTAATTGTTTTCCTTATAGTATTCATGTATTTGTGATACGTGTTGTGCTTACTTTGTTTATTTTTGTTAAATCATTTAATTTCTTTCTTTTTTATTTTCTCTTAATGTCCGTTTAATATTTCTTGTTATAAAATTTGTTTCAGCAATTCTTTCTATGATACACCTAAAGATTATCCATAAAAAATCAGCACTTTTAATTGGTATGAAAATCTTTTAAAGCCACACATTTTTTTTCAATTTTTTTTTTTTTTTTTTTTTTAATTTGTGAATCATCTGTAGATTCATCATTTTTCAAATTAAACCAAATTTGATCTTGAAAAATAATGACATTGAAGAAATTATTGATGAATGATTTCATTGAATATTTTGGTTATTTGCTCATTCAAGTGACTTTTGTTCAAGTCAGTATCATTTCCCATTGAACCTCAAGTCCTTCAGTCTGTTTTATTATAACTTATATTTACAAATACAGAATAAGTTTGTAATTAAATCTTGGAATTTTAAAATGTCATATTTCAAGTGACTAGAAAACATCTTTGATGTAATTTGTCTCAGGTTTTTGTCTCTATTAGGTAATTTTATTTTATTAAAATGTAGATAAGCATAACGAATTGTAATGAAGAAGTGGGTGTATAAGTTTTAACAATTTTTTTTTTTTTTTTACTTTTTAAATTGATAAAAAGAAAAATTAACCTATGATAGCGTTTTTAAAGTTTACAATTCAAATTTTATTAGTTTTTAAGCATTTTTTGAACAAAAATCATTATTTAATAATAGATTAAATATTAAATATATATATATATATATATATATATATATATATATATATATATATATATATATATATATGTGTGTGTGTGTATGTGAGCACATTTTTACAGATATGCAGACCTACATAATTACTTTTTATAGCATTAACTTTCAATGCTCTATATTTTCAAGATTTTTGTACTTATTTATCTGCAATAATCACTTCTTCTAAATTTCAAAAAGAGTTATCTACCTTTATCCATTTGGGCAACAGCCATTCATAATTTTTTTGTTTCATTTGGGCACAGTTGTATTAGAGATTTTCTGTTTGTCTTCAAATTTTATTTCCTTAAAAATGCTTATCAAAAGAAAACCTAGAAATATACACATAAAGTTATTCAATTAGCTGATGTATGCAGTTAAACCCACAGACTAATGTTGGTCAACTCCTCTTTCTTTTATGTTTGAGTGGAGATTGGAAAACAAACCACAGGCGAGTTTTGTTACATTGTTTACCTTATATTTTGTATGGAAGTCTAATGATGTGAAATCCAATGGTTTAATGGATTAATTTTTATTGTATTTCAATATCATCTGACCATTAGTGTTAGTACTCTAAAAAATCTTTTATTTACTTCATAAAATTTCCACTTGTATCAGCTTAAAGTTGAATTTAGACGCACTCAGGAGAACCTGTATGCATACTCCTTCAAACAAATACCAATGACGATATAATTTAGAGGAACACTAATTTCTCAAATTATTTTGAAATTACGGGTTTTCTTGATTTTCTGCTTTCTAAATAAAAGGGAGATAATCCAGAAAAACTACTTCATAAATTGATAAAAAAAAATCCTAAATAGAAATACGTCTTTAAAATAAGTTTCATTTGAAGAAAAAAAGAGAAAAAAAATCTCACACACACAAATTCTTCGTTTTCATTCTGAAGATATTGTTGGGTTTAATAATAATGAAAATCCATTTAATTAGGTTATTAAAATCTTTGCACATACATGGTGTATGTTGAAAACTTAGTTTGACCAAGAATGAATTTTAAAGTAAATTCTGATGATTGGTCATTTGGTCAGATTTTAGAAAGTGGGTCTGGCCAATAACATTTCAGCACCACCTTGTATATTTTAACTTGAACTATATCAGGTTAAGCAAATGTCATAGTGTGGCGATTTGAAAACCAGTTTCAATAATTATTGTTAGTGAATTTAATCCTTATGGTTACATCTAGCTATTTCAACTGTAAAATGAGAACTTGCTGCCAATCAATTCATAAAGTCTAGTTACTATAGAGGAAAGTTCATCCAAACAATTTCCATGAAAATATTTATAGAAAAGGCACAGCTGTTATGAACTTGGGAAAGTGACTGAAGCCGAGATGCCAGGTCAAGACTGTAAAAACGAGCATATGGTTGCAAAGGAAAGAACAAACAAGGATTCTATTTTTAACTAGTGTGTATTGATCAATTTTTAGAATATATATATATATATATATATATATATATAATTGTGTGAAGAAGTGACAAATGTTCATATGATTCTTTAATTGCTGTTGATAAGGCCATGTGTAGGTAACAGGTTGGTGAGGACGAGAGAAACCTGGGATGGATTTATGTTAGATGCTTGATGGGTCAGTTGACCAGGGTCACAGTGGTGATATTGAGAGATGCCTGGTGATGACACCTGGCCTGTTGGCCACATTCTGCATGTGAATAGTCAAGAATCTGGTTGCCTTACATTGCATTGACAGAAGTCATGGTGGTGACAGTGTCAGTCATTTATGATGGTCTTTCTTTTAAGCAAATCTGGTGGCTCCCAGCCTCTTTTTTTTTTCTTTTTTTTTCTCTTTCTCTCTCTTTCAGCAATATTTATTATTGGCTATTGTATTTTACATTTTTGCAGAGATTTGTTTTGTGGAGTGAATGTTATGCTTGGAGTAACTTTTTGGGTTTTAACTTTTTTAGCACTCACATCCGGCTGGTGTGTAAAGTGAATCAAAAAGAGATCTAATTGCAGCAAAGTATAACAGGACTAATCTACATGGAAGTAGCTTTGTGATAAAGAAATAAACCCTATCATATTTTTTTTAAATTTACTTGTTTGCAAAGACTTTTCCTTTTTCTTGCTGATGATGGTTTTAACAGGAAAATGGACATGAAACTTTTCTCTACAAAAATGTTTGCAGAAATGCTTTCATGCCAAATTCTTCAGTTATGAGCACTGCCTGCTGCCAAGTGAAAATGGTCCACAATGTAGAATCTTTGACTTATTTAACTGAGGAGTCCTCTTATATGGCAGTTCTGGTGCTTTAGATGACTTTAAGTAGTCAGTATCATTATAAAGCTTTGATATTCTAGAAATTATACTCATAGAGCTCTTCTTTTGAAATAGCAAGAACTGTTATCTTTTTAATATGAAAACCTGATGTTTGAAGGATTCATTAACTTTGCAGCAGTTTGCAAATGTGATAACATAGGAAACAGTGGTACAGATGATTTAAGAAGTATTCATTGCATTATTATCCAATTTTATTGGAAAGATTTCCTTTTTAAATCAAAATCACATAAATATAAATTAACAAGAGTATTTTCTAATTTTAGACAATATGCTTACATAATGAAGTTCTAGAAATTTCTTTACCTTTTTTTTTTTCCCCGCCGATAGTTTTTGTGTGACGCATTTTGTCCTTTAGGACTTCATCAGACTAAATTGTTGTTTAAATTGATGCAACTACACATGTGCATAAGTGAAAGTTAGATGCTGAGAATTTTAATAAAAATAATTTTTGTGTGCATGTGTTTTGGATATATAATCTAGCCAATTTCATTTGGATTTTTTTTTTTTTTTATGCTTCCATCACTGTTATTAAATATTCCACATTGAAGATCTGCCAAGAATGGTGAAATGCTGTAAGAACCTGGACACATTTACTGTGGATGATTTAGTGATTAAAGCACTTTCTAAACATTTTCATCTTAGTAAATTGCTTTCTCTTTTTAATTAAAGTATCATTTTTTAAGATCAAAATTGTGGTCAGTCTTGTTATGGTGATCAACTAATGCACTTAATCTTTTGTAAAAGATCTCTTTTGTATTCATATTATAATCTTTTATTTAAATTCCTTGAGGTTTCTCTGATGTATTCCTTGTAGCAAATTAAGAGTAAATTCCTCCTTCAAGTTTTAGCTTTTGTTTTATATTAAGTCTTTTATTGTTTTAGATGTAGTTGTAACAAATTTTATGTTGAATTTAGATAAATTCTTTTCAGTTGTAGGTGTGATAGATTTGGTGGGTAGAATAATATATTTTGATTTATTCAGTTTGTCAGCAAGGACAACTTTTCTATTTTGAAATATTTTATGAGCCTTTGTTTCAAATTGAGCATGAAGTAGTATTGCGAGTTACTATGATGTTTGGGTAAACATAAGTCACCACTTATGTATGGATGTTTTATACCAAATATAACAAACAATATTGGTGGCCTCATGTGAGTCTGGATAAAAATAAAGACACAAACATGGAATTTAAAACAAATGGCAATTAATGCATGTATTAACTAAAGTAATTGTATGTTTACACAATTGAAATTTAAAAAAAAAAAAAAACCCTTGAAAGTAGCTATAAGAATGTATTTGTGTATGTAAGAGTTCGGTCAAGAGAAGACCAAGGAAACTAGCATGCCATGTTGGCAGTGTTCTTTATCTACATTCAACTTCATCTGAAAGCAAGAGTTAGAGAATATTCTTGCCTTTTTATAGACTTAAAGAGCACACCCTAACAATTTTTTTGGCAAAGCCAAGTGTGGTAACCCAAAAGATTATTGGAGGAGCATGATAGTATTTTCAATGTATTTCTACTCTTCATGTAAATACCAAGTGCTGCAAATTCTAAGTGTCCTTAAATAGAATCCAATGTTTATTCCAGATTTTATTTTATTATGATGAGAATAGAAATTTGAGATTATTTTTAGTAGTTGATTTTCGGTGGACACTAAGTTTTAAAGCTACTGTCAACACTGTGTAGCATGATATCTAGGAACGGTAAAGTTTTGTTTGTTTACATTTCATATGTAAATTCTATTGTGTATTTGACTTTTAGTTTATCTACAAGATCAGGTATATCAGCACCACAGGGAAATATTAATAGAACATCAACATATTAGAAGTATGTTGATTGTTTATGTAAAATATTTTGGAAATAACCAGATTCAAGAAATTCCAAGAAAATACATGCCATCACTCCACTGATCACATTGGTTATCCAAATTTTTGTTCATAAAAATTGTTAAATGTGAAATAGCATTGATTATATGCATATTTCTTTTACCTTTATTTTTTCTAGTTTATGAACTAAACAGAATTTGTTTTAAATCATTAGCCAAGCAAAGCTAAAATGAATTTGACTTGAATTTAGAGCTGACATCTTCATTTTTACTCTTTAATTTGTTTCATATTTGTTTGTTTTTTTAAAATTTTACTCTCATCATAGAAGATGTAAATGATGTGTATTCCTCTATAAAGTTATTGATAGTTTCCATGTTGGACTTGTTTTTCTTGTCATGTCTAAAGTAGTAGAAGTTATTTAGCAGCACCCATCTACTCTCTTGTTTACATGTCAATGGTAGCAAGAAATAATATATTTTTATATTTCATGGTAAGCGTGAAAGAAAAAGCTAAATTTTTTTGCAAAAATTAGAATTGACATATAGGATTTTGACAGTTTTTATCCATTTCTCCAGAATGGATGGTTTGAAAATATTTTTGCTAGAAGTGTATTGGAGTCTTGCTCGCCAAAAGACCTTGGGAAGGAATGTAATTTTTGATTATAGATTCATATCTATATTTCCTCCTGATAGATATATACATGGTCTGGAAATTTTTGTAGCAAAAGTGTACTTTAAAATGTTAGGTGACATCTCTTTTGTTTTTTTTTTTTTGTTTTTTTTCCCCAATCTGAGGAAACGGTACATTTTGCCTTGAATAATGAATTAAACCATTTCAATAATTCATTTCAAATTTCACCTATGCAGGAAAAGTTGATTTGGCAACTATTTATCAGCAAAACTTTTTTTTTTAATATTAGATTACCGGTTGAATGATAAAAGATGACCCAGCCTTATTAGGTGTTGGTGATAATCTCGCCAATGAAATGACAAAGTAGCAATTTGCAGGCTGGACAAAAAGGCAACTAGGTAAAGGTGAGATGGAATGGGAAATGTTCAGTTGAGAAATAAAAATCATTAATCAGGGACCCCAAAGGCACCATACTCTAGCCATCCTCTTAAGAGTTCTTGATATAATTCTTTCAGTTTTGAACTTGAAGCAGTTGATACACTTGCAGCTCAGAAGATGAACAAATCTTGTCCTGTCATCATGCATGGTTACTCCTCCCCATTTGGTGTTTAGATGAAAAATAAAGTGGATAATGAAGAAATTTTAATTTAAGAATTTCAGAGTTAAAAAAGAATGAAGTTGATGACTGCTTTTGCTTGAAGGACTGACACTACACTACCTTGCTTATACCAACTCCACTTTCCTTTTGCTGCTCCATATTCATCCTTGTAAAACAAAAATAGCCATCAAGAATTTAGTAACTATCTGTAATTTTAAACACATCATTTGGGGAACAGTTATTTCCATGTTGTGACCCAAAGCATAACTTTTTTTTCATCATTTTTCTTTCTGGTCTTGTAACAAAGTATATTCAATTTGATGAATGTTTCCACAACCTCCACCAAGAAACATTTTCATATAAAAAATACACAATGTTGTGGGGAGAGGCTGACAAACAGGCAGGCTGATGGGAGGAGTGCATTTTCCCAAGCTTATATAAAAGATCTTATTTTCTTTCAGAAAAATTAATTTAGTTATGTTTCCACTCCTTAAAATGGGCATAAGCTATTGATCAGTAAAAAGAAAGTTTTAACAGTGGTTCTGGTAAAACTAAGACTTTGGCAGAGTATTTGGATTAGAGATAGCAGATTCAAATTGTTAATCTTTCTATAAACTAGAATTTTACCTTTTGCCTTCTGAATCTCTTGAAAAGAAGAAATCACATGACATTTAGTGAAAAGGCTGGTATAGGTTAAAAAAAATGGTTGAGATCTTCTGACTGGACATTTTCTCTGAAAATGAATTACAGATATACCATAACTGTTTTTCAAAGTAAAGTGTAAATGTCTATGTTCATTATTAAAAATGAGGAATGCTTCAATGATTAATGCTAAAAGTGTATTATGGAACCTTCCAAATTAAAAAGGCTACCTTATTTCTCGACAAATGGACTGTTCATTCAAGACAAAATAAATAAGCTAATTTTTTTGTTTTGTTTTTTTTGTTTCAGTCTTCTTTTCACAGTCTAACCATTTGTGGTTGGGTTTGATTTAATTAAAAAAAAAAAAAAAATGCCCATTTCCAGAGCTCACCCCACAAGCAGAATTTCTGCCACTTCACTAAGAGGGAGTAGGTCAATTTCATTGCTTGAGGTATCTCGATAAGGAAAGTAATGGAATCTGAACAAATTTTGTTACTACTCCAATGTACATTTGAAATACTAACTTTAAATATGGCCTTGTTCCATATACCATTTAAGTAGGTGTACTGATATATACCATCTTTTTGGAGTTGCCTAGTAAACTTGTTTCATTGTGAATTAGAAACTATCTTCTTACTGCAAGCTTCTGTTTGTCATTTTTATCTTTGATTATTAAGATTATCATTTACAATAATTCTTTCTAGAAACACAAACCTTTAATGTGAAATTAAGATATTTTTTTCCAGAATGAAAACATTTAAAAAAAATCTCTTTATATTAATATATAAGTTTGAATCTTCATGTCAGAATTCTCTCAACATGTTGAATCTATAAGAACTTTTTAATTTAACTGAAAACAAATTATTTTTTTTTATTTTTTTACCTACTAACTAAAAACAATTTTTTTTTTTTTTTTACCTAGTAACAAAAAATGTAGTATTAAATAAGATACAACTCATTGCTGTAAATCAAAATTAAAAGAATAAAAAATGCTTTCATTTAAGTGCTTTTAAAGCACTCCTCATGCACAATAGATTGATGATAGGAAGCCATCAAAAAGTGCAAGTATGTATAAACTCTATTGAACACACATAATTATTATTATAGCGATGATCTTGAGCTGCAGAATGATTTTCTCATAAAATAGTTTAATAAAAATGTATTTTTGAACTCCAGAGACACATTTCATGTTTGATATTTAGGTTTAGTCAGAAATAATTTCTATTTAATATCCCAGAAATTTATGACTCAACCCAATGTATATTAGAGGTTTCCACTTAAGGAAACTACAATGGATCATGAATTTTAGTCCTTATTAGCAGATCCCTTTTAAAGGGATTTGCATCAAAAGGACAATATTACATCTGTCTGATTCTGTTCATGCATAATTGCTCCTGCTAAACATCTTTAGAAAATATATATGTTGGTTTAAATAAGATTGTTAATACCATTTAAAAGTTGTTTTTTGTTATATAGTCTTTATTAATTAGTTGATACAAGTATTGTTTTAGGATTTAAAATTTACTTTTTAAAAAGTACCTAATTTTGTTTATTTCAGGTTAGATAAACTGCGTCACCATTTGATGCCATTGTACAGTTTCGATCCAGCTGCAGTGGATGAAGACCAAGATTGGGAATGTGAACTTTTGGATGGGGATAAGGAACAGCATGTGGCACTTCGCTCAGAGGTTAGTTGATAACAAAAATAGTTTTAAAACTTTAAATTTTATGAGATTGTCAAAAAAACAAATCTTTTGTCTGTTTAAATCATTTTAGAATTTCATTAGGTCTTTTGAATTTAATAGTAATAAAAAAAATTATTTAATAGTAAATTCTATTACTTAAAAAAATAATTTTATACTTGAAAATATAAGTACAATCACTACAGTAAAGAGCCTGTGATGGAGTTTGAACTGATCTTTATCTTATTGTTGGCTTATACATACTTTTGTTAGGTATATATGCAGATTAAATTCAAGATAAGCTTCATGCACTCAATTGGGTTTAACCTATCTCATCCCTAGCTACTTTACCATTGTGATCGATTTGTGTATGTTTGAAAATTATCTCTTGCAAATAATTGAGCATAGCATAGTAATTTGTTCAAATTTCTTTGTAATAAATCATTTCATGAAAACATGCCTGATAAAATCCTGACTATTACAATAAAAAAAATATTTAGAGTTTTTCTATTTCCATATAAAAGACAGCAAAAATATAGTGTTTAATAAGTAAAAGGAAATTGACATTCATATTCAAAGTTGATTAAAGCACCTGTAGAACCATACTAATAGTTTTAAAAACATTTTAAATGAAAATGTAAATATAACCTTTTTATTCTTTTTCATTTCACACTGATGTTGTCCTAAATTTCAGTAATAATTCTTTTATAAAATTGAAGACATAAGACCATTTGTTTTCTTGATGGAATTAATTTTGGTAATAAGTTTTTATCTATTTGGTATTTACTAAGCTTAATACTTGTAAAATCCACATTAAACAGATTATGATTTTGTTCTTTTTAATGCTGAAAGATCTAGGAAGGTTTTGAAAAGTTATAAAAAGTGTTTTGTCTTTATTTTCCATAATATAACTTCAGACATTGACCATATTTTCTGGTTCTTAATATTTTTTTATAATTTTTTGTTAGACAATTTATGAGTTATTTGTTGAGACATTTTTAATTCTCCATTAATGTTCTCTGTTTATGCTGTACCCATCAAATCTATATCATTTGCTTCTCAAAGAAACAATGTAGAGGCAATTACCACTTGGATTTTCTATATCTCATATTCAATAAAACTGAAAATGATATGTTGATACTAATTTATGATAGAATTATATATATATATATATATATATATATATATATATATATATATAATTAGAATCAAATATGGATCGGAATCTGACAATAAGATAACAAATGGGGAAACTTTATCAATCTAACATCTTTCACTTTTATTAAGACTTCATCAGATACTGAGATATGGAGAAAAAGCAGAAAGAAATTCTGGTATTTTTACTTTTTTGCTTGATTTTCATTGGTTAATCAGGTTTTACATGTATTCAACTTGTTAAACATTCTCTGTTGAACTTTTGATGAAAGTGAAACATTCAATTGATAAATGTTTTGTATTTGTTCTTTATCTTAGGAATGTCCAAAAATTCACTAAAAAAAAAAGAGCATACCCTGATGAAAAAAAGCCCCAAACTTGATTAAAAAAATTTTGTATTGTCTTAATATTTGTCATTAAGAGGAAAGACCAAAGTATTTTTTGAAATTTTTAATCCTTTCTAGCATGTCTGAAATTTTAGCTAAAAATCTTTTTTTTTTTTTTTTTTTTTTTTAGTCATCAAAATTGATGTAAATCACTCATGTAATCTATTATTGACAGTTTTATAAACAAAAGTGAAATTCCCCATTTAAAATTCTTGTAAAATTCAATTACACTTTTTCCAAAAGTTATTTTAGGAAAATTAGAAAATTTAAAGTATACTTAATGTAATTTGAAAGAAACATACTTTTTTAGCAGACCATTTTTTAAGAGAGACATGCCCAACTGTATTCATTGGTTTTGGGAGGTGTGAATTGACGCATCAATGTATTGACAACTTATATCAGAGGAATTTATTGGATGGTAGGACAGAAGTGACAAAATTTGTACAAATTTTAAGTGAATCTGGTTAGTAGAGTTAAAAAAAAATACTTTCAAAAGTTTTTTTTTTTTTTACCTTACATTTGAGGGAGATTTCTGGAATAAAAATAACATTTAAAATATGAAAAAATAGATTTAGAATTCAAATTTTATAACAGATAAAAAAGATAGATAAAAAATGAGTAACCTACTTGTTATGTTCACCTATTATAAAAATTTTTTTTGTTTGATTTTTTTTTTTTTTAAGTTTTATATTTTCCCAGTTATGAAATTTTTTCCTGAGACAAAATAAACATTAAATAAAAAGTCATTACATTTCATAAACGAAACAGGTAACTCATTTATGAAATGAGATTTTTTTTTTTCATTTTACTGATATAATATGGTAAAAGAAGAAAAATTTTGAAAATGCGACGTTAATGGTCACTCAGAAAATTCAACACAAGCTACCAGAACAAAAGCAATGTAAAAAATGACAGCATGATTCCATGCAGGGGAAATAGCACACGTATTTTATTTATTTTTTTTCAGAAATGTGCATCCGTAGTTTTGTCGGAGACGATTTTAATACATGTTTTGGCATAATAAAAAATTGTTTTAAAAATAGATGCATGTAATAGATTTTAATAAGCTTTCTAATTTATGATCTGTAAAAATAGACCAGTAAATTTGCTTTTTAACGCCTGTGCTAAATATCTCTTAAAATTTTCCCAAATCGTCAAAATTCCATGTAAATGTACATGCTGAACTAGAATTAACAATTAAATTATGAAGAAACCTTACCATTTTGGAGTTATTGACAAGAAAAAATCAGACTTCTTATTGGTCATTTGTCCACCATTACTGCCATACTGTTTAGTAATTTACTGCGGGATACATCCAGTGACAAAAGCACAAATTTTGGCCAATTTACTTCTCTTACAGACTTTCGGTGCAAAAAATCTCTACGCACTATTGTAAAGCAATTTTTTTTATAAGTGTAGTTTTATTTATAACAAAATTTTAAACAAAAACAAATTCAATAATACAATAAAACTTTTTTTTCTGTGTAGAATAGCAATGACAAATTAAAAGAACAAATAATACAATGAAGCATTTTTTATATTTTAAACTTGGTAAAGTAGAAACGAAATAAGGGTTGATTGTATTATTTAATTTTTTTTTTATTTGTCCCCTTTTCTACACAGAAAGAAGCCAAACACAACCCCTAACCCTAACACCTAACCCTAAACTTAACCAATAAACATACAAAATAAAATTACAAAATAAAAAAAAGCTAGAAACGAAATAAGTGTTTATTATATTACTTAATGTTTTTTTGTTTTTTTTTTTCAATTTGTCTGCTTTCAATTTAAAAAAGTTGCTTTATTTATTATTTAATTTGTTTTCTTAATTTGTCATCGCTTTACAGTAGTGTGTAGTGATTTTTTGCACCAAAAGTCTGTAAAAGAAGAAAGTTGACCAAAATTTGTGCTTGTATTCCACAGTAAATTATTAAACAGTATGGCAGTAATGGTGGACAAATGACCAACAAGAAGTCCGATTTTTTTTTTTTTTTTTTTTTTTTTTTTTTTTTTGTTGATAACTCCAAAACTGTAGGTTTCTTCATAATTTAATTGTTAATTTTAGTTCGGCATGTACATTTACACAGAATTATGACTATTTGGGAAAATTTTAAGAGATATTTAGTGTGGGTATTAAAAAGCAAATTTACCAATAGACCTTTTTAATAAGAGCATTTCCAGTTTTACAGTTTTAAATTTAAAAGAGTTATCAATTTTATCACTTTTTTTTTTATTTATAATTGAAGAAAAAGAAAACAATTCTTATAAAAAAAAAATTCATTTTTCAACCAAAAAAAATTTTGGCTTCAGACAAAAACGTCCTTAATATATATTATTCATAAAAGCCACTAAAAGCTTTTTTAAATAATTAAATAATTTCTTAGTTTTATTGAGTTTTGTATTTTAAATTCAGAGCTAAAGGGTGAGGGTTGTTGCAAGTAAATTTAACAAAAAATTGATTTATATTCCTCAAAGTCTTCTTCATTTAACTAAAAAAGTTATAGAGTTACACAGTTACTAGTTTTAAAGTTTTTGTAAAATTAAGTAAGGATGGGGTGGGATGTAAAAAAAAAAAAAAAACATTTCTAAAATAAATTCATTCATCTTTCTGAAAGTTTTGTTAAATTCAAACAATTGTTTGATTTTTGCAATATTTCCACATTAATGTTTTCAACTAAAAAAGTTGCTAAAAGAAACCTAATGCTAAATATTAGGTGGCCTAAAAAAAAAAAAATTTTCAACCAAAATTTCAAACATGCTAAAAAGGAATAAAATTTTTTTAAAAAAATATTTTGTTCTCTTTTCTAATTAATAACAAACTTTTTTTGCAATAAAACTTTGTTTTTATTAAGTTTTTTTTTTTTTCATCAGGGTATGCCACTTTTTTAGCAAAAAAGTGGACATAACTATTATATATATATATATATATATATATATATATATTATATATATATATATATATATATATATATAGTTATATATATATAGTTTATATATATATATATATATATATATATATATAGTTTATGAAAACTAGGTAATCTATATGGGTAAACCTAAGGAGGATAAAATCCGTATAAGGAGCTAATATTTACTTTATGAAAAAACTAATTCATTATATGGAACCTTAAAGTGGTCTGTTTTTATTTAATATATATATATATATATATATAAGTACTTATTTTCTCATTTCCAGGTGTTGTTGCAAGTGTTAACACACCTGAGGTGATACAATTTTTCAGATTTATCACAAGGTTATCTCTAGTCTGATTTTTATCTTTTGTTTTGTTTTAATCATGCAAATGTTTTATTGTATTCTCTCTTAGCATTGGTTGGTGACTAGCTTTTACAGTGTCTTTTTGTCAGATTCAATTTAGGCATTGCATTTATCTGTATTCATTGCCAAGATTTTAAATATAAAAGTTTTCTTTGAAGACATAAACTGGCCAGTTTTTCTGTCAGCAA